ATTATGAACCTACTCAAAAATAATATATTGTTCAACTTTTTTGCTTTCGTCCATTTATTAAACACGAGATAATATCAATTACTATAACTACGAATTTATTCAGTCAAATAAAACGATTTTTTGAAGATTAATGAAGAACAAAGAAATATTTCATTGTAATTCAGTTGTATCCATACTATTTCGAAAGAAAACATTCGATCAAAGATGAATCATCGGCAGAAATTGAATATCACATAGGATATGCATGATTGTTTCCTACTATACAAACTATTTTTCATGTTCAAAAGATATCATAAAAAGTGAGGGTGTGAGACGAAATTGAGTCTCACGGTTATTTTATTAGTTAAGTCTTGTTTTACAATTCATTTTTGGGCTTTTATTGGCTAATTATTCTTTTGAGAAAGGTTTAATTTTTGCAATTTATTTCTCATCTGCCATGTTTTATATTTAAAATTTGAGTAAAGATTTCAATATAAATTAATAGAATTTCGATATTTCTAACATAAATATATAAGACCTATCTTGACTCTTATAATCAACAAATTCAATATTTTCTTTTATTAGTTGTCTTTATTATTTGACAAGATTATATTATATTGCTTGAATAAAAAAGATTTCAAATAAATAATAATGATCTGATAATTAACAAATAAATTCATTTATTTTGTTCATTGTTGTATATTCTAGACAAAATTTGTTTTTTTTTCGAAGACGATACTTAATTATTGTGAGTTATATTTTATTTATACTTATAGAAACATTGCATAATATGATACATGATTATTCACTTCCTATATGTAATTTATCAAAAAGAATATATTTCTCTTTATTATTATTCTCACACGAAGTGCGTGGTTGTAGGTGCTAACGATGATTAATTCAAGAACAGAAAAAAATACGTATGTTGGTTTTTTCCTGGTATGACTCATATTTGTCTTGTATTCAAATGTACAATATGAATAACGATATGTATGTATCTTGAGGGTATAGGTGAGGGCGAGACTGGTTGTTTTCTGAAAACTGATTGGTACTCACAGAGAGAACCACGTGCTATGCAATTGAAATGTGAAACCGGTTATTTAAAAGGTGTCATATAGTGTATTTCATAAGTTTCGACCCCCTTTTTGTTTTTTTTCTTGTTTTTTCATATTCCATCGTAGGATGATTTCCAAAAGGGATTATGAAAGGACCACACTCAAGCTTTCAAGTGGAAAAAAATTCATTCTATGAACGGTAGTTTTACCAGAAAACCACATCGATGAAAACTGTGAAAATTTTTCTCAACGTGCATTTTCTACTTTTTGTACATTATATGAATTTTTCTTTAAAACAAAAATGACAAATACATCTGCTTTATTATGAAAATCAATTATCACACGAATCGTAAGGGTACTACTTAATAAAAAAATCAAAGATCGTTCTTAAGAATTCTGCGGTCACGTTGTTGAATTACTGCTCGTAATCTGTTTGAAATACTGGACATCATTCGAAAACATAAAATAGAACAAAAACTATCACCAATGGATTAGACGATATTTGAAGGATGCTAAAGCGAACAATCTGGTTATCATATATTGCATATTTATATAAGGATCTTCGCAAATTCCTGAGAATAAGGGTGTCAGGACCATGATTTTGATTTTTTATTCGATTCGTTATGACAGTGTAATGCTATTGATTACTTAGCACGCATCTATTAATGCGTGATCTTTCATGTGAATGCAACACCGTAAAAGGAACGAGGATGATATCTCGGATTGTGTTGATTAATACGCAAAAAGTAGAAAATGCACGTTGAGAAAAATTTTCACAGTTTTCATCGATGTGGTTTTCTCGTAAAACTATTGTTAATAGAATGAATTTTTTTTGCACTTGAAAGCTTGAGTGTGCGCCTTTCACAATCCCTTTTGGAAATCATCCTACGATGAAATATGAAAAAACAAGAAAAAAACAGTAAGGGGTCGAAACTTATGAAACACTCTTTATATTTGTTTGAAGAAAACAGAACATTACCGATGCGTTTTAACATCAACTTGTTTGTCGTGATGCAGAAAGGTAAATAAAGAATTTTTTTTTATTGACATCGGGAAATAAAGAAGAACAGAAAGAGAAAAATTATAAAATGTGGATGAAACAGTCGCAACGTAGTTTATGATTGTTAAGTATTGTTTTTTTCCACTCAATAGTAACAGAGAGCATAGTTTTGATCGCTGTGTGATTTTATTTTGATGTGAAGAATACCGACTAGATACGAAAGATAATATATCGACCAATGTGTTTAGTCTTGTAAAGATGGTTAGCATCTAAAGGGTTTACTTACCTGAAAGAGAAAGTTTTACATATATGATTAGTTATTTAAATAGGAATAACATTTTAAGTATTGTATTGCACTTTCTATACTGACAGTAACAGTATATTTGTTTGATCTTAGACAGATTTCAATCACTTTTTCTTTCTACAAAATTCTTCGATAATAAACATCTAATCAGCAATGTTGTTTCTTTAACATCGGACTGGTTGTTGAATGTTTCACTGTATACATGCAAATCTTGGAATTATCTTCAAAAGAAATAAATTTTATTTTGTAATAAAGACTTTTGTGTATGTCTACATAATTTTGTTGAACTGTTCTGATTTTTCTCATTAAGAAAAAGATGACAAAAAATATGTTTGTTTCAATTTCTCGACGAAAAGCTTGCTCATACTGCTGTTATCAGCTTCACTCGTCTCTGTTTCTGTTGCTGTCATATCATCTTGATAAGATGGAGATGAAAATAAATAAATCGATAAAACTTTTAGTTGTATTATTAAATATGCATCCACTGACGGACATAAATCAATATCGCTCGAATTCATTTATACAGTATGAAATTGTGATTCACATTTTCCCCCGCGTATATATTATGCTGTATGGCGCTAGGTTTCTGCATCCTACTCAACAAATCATATGCATGACTCAATAATATATGCACATCACTTGTGCTATGCGGCAACAATTCAACTTTGATCTATTATTTTATTATGAACTTCAAAACAGCAATAAAAAAAAGTCGGTCAATATATATAATGTTAGAGTTCATTCTATGTTCTTCACTGTTTCGATTAATATATGCGATAGATACTTGCGCATATTTCAGATTAGATACCTGCAAATATTGCAGCACAGATACCTTCACATATTGCAGTACAGATACATTCTAAACAGCACGATGCACAAACATCTTCGTCTTTCATCTCTTCAGCGCTTCTTCCATAATTGTATTGATTGGACAACAATGGACTAGTCTGGTCGTCTGAACCGTTATATGAATCTCTAAATGAGTTTTGCGGCTGTCTTGTTTTGTAATAGTCTGCACGCATATTAACGGTGTTGGCCATGCGTATTTCTTTTTTTCTGATTTACAAATGTGATCGTATATTTATAGTCGCATTCATTTTTTCCCAGCCGTGTAACATGACGTAATATCTTTTGTTTTTCTTATCTTAACATTCACTCGGTAATAGATAAGTGAAACTCATTTTGAGCACGAGTGTGGGTGTGGAGCAAATATAGCACACACTATGACTAATAATATTCAAATATTAGTTCATTTCCATATATACTGTGTATCTCTCAATAGGCTTCGAAAGAAAAAATTAGTTTTATTCGATACAATAATTTATATCATACTGATCAATCTTACATCCAAATAAAAGAGTTCTCTTAATATTTTTCTTTACACATGTTTTTATGCGCTTAACTTATTCTTTTTCGTTCTCTACATCCATCGACTTCTTATCTGTTAAAGAAAAAAAATGTTGACTGCATTTTTTTGTCTAAACATTTTACAAGCATTCTTTTTTCTTAAGATTTCTCTTTATCTATTCAAATATAAGATAAGTATTGTCATAAAACGAACCATCAAACATAATAATGATAGATTTTAACATATAGAGAATACAAAGGAAATAGATGCCCAACAAAATGATTATATACGTCACCATCTCGAATTGGTTGAATGTAGGCAAAGGGCTAAGATTATACCCACACACTCAAGATGGTTCTGCTAATAAATAAACATCCATTTCGATAATAATACAAATTATATTTAAGATACATTTTGTTTTAAAATCATTTCATTTGTTGATTTATTCTATCAAATTAAATTTATTTCGTTAAAACATTCTATGCTAAAAAGTGAGAAAATAAAACAGAATAACTAACTTGTGACAAAATTATTCTATTATTTTATTAACTTTTTATAGGATAAACAAAAATCTTTCATTTCTTTTTTTTTTCTACAACCAATAAGGAACATTAACTTTAATGATTAGTAAAAATCTAGATGTGATTATAATCATTTAAATCATCAAACAATGATCATTAACATATATATTTTTTAGCACGAAAATAACTAGGAAAACATTTTCTTTGTCCTTTTCGCCGGGGAGAAGGTTGTGTGTAATATATTATCTACTTTTTTGAATATCATTTGAATCATTTATTGCATAGAATTATGTTTCTCATTAAAACAGTCGAAGTACATGTTCTGTTTTGAAAGAATTGTACGATTCCAGTCATAAAAATAGGCGTGATGCTGCAGATTTTACTGATTAAGTTGTGTAAACTATAAAAGATGCACAGCTGATAGAGACGTATTCGATCACAAATATCCTGCATTATACTCTTATGATAAGGAAGAATATTAAACATGTTGTTACTTTAACATAATGGAGTGGATGATCGAACAGCCTAAAGGTAGAGTAACCGATCGGTTATTGGGAGATGCAGGTTCGATTCCTGCTCTTGTGTTACGACCTTTTTCAACAAGTCATTTGTGCTTGTGAGAAGTTATTTGTGTGGTTATATTTTGCTCATAATTCACTTTTAAACTTTTTATTTCAATTTTACAACCTTAGACATATTCACACTATTAAAGAATAATAATAGATGGTTAAATAAGGAATAAATAGTTCACACAACGTAGCTTGTGTCTTGAGCAATACCAGAGAGAAGCACCTTAGCCGCTCCATACCGCCTAAAAATAATAGTCATGATTTGAAGGATAATTCTCGTTGCAAAGGCGAAAAAACTTACTGGTCCTGGTTGTATGTAGGTGGTTGGCTTGGGATATGAAAATGGATTGAATTTGATGCCAGGTTCCTACAAAGAATACAATTGAATTCGAAAAAGAAGAAAGACATGTTCTTTTTTCATTGATATATGCACAAAAGTAGGACTCGCTAGTTGTTAACTTTAAATGAAGCAGATTACTCGTGACCTCATCTTGTAGTTTTAGTTGCTTCACGTTATTGCTATTTGTGAAAACATTTAAAGAAAATTTTCAGTTTCTCAAATCGCTGACTAATATTGTATTTATCATTTGCTAATTGACGGGCAAACGTCTAAATTTCATACAGATATTTAGACACTATTGAATTATTAACCTTTCGACTTCTTTTGTTATTATCTGAAACTATACAACACATCAAACTATGATTTTTGAAAGTCCTCACGAATTCTATTAAAAAAAGAACAGTATATATATATACATACTTCGCCAGTATACATTCCTGGGATTGAAACAAGAGGTCCTGGAGTACCATTTCCACCGTTTGTTATGTTCAGTTGTGCACAAGATATATAAAATTGAGCGCCACCATGGAAGTCATGAAGGGCTATGTGCTCAGGACGTAGAAGGTACCTATTTTTTAGAATGATCGACTTCAAATGGTTTAATATGATCAAAAAAAAATACGTACTCTCCAGTCGGGATGTTCTTTGGAATAGTAAAACTAACGTTGTTCAACGCTATAGAAAACGAGAATTAATAATAGCTGAAAGACTAATGATAACTCACTACCAGTATTGCAAGCTCTATATCATTCTTTTTCATTTAACCTTTAACTAATTTTTAATGAAGAGCGAGTAATAAAGGTTGTAAAAATTTGTTTATTCTCTTTTTCGGCTCCGAAATAACCATGCGAAGTGGAGAATATTAAAATGACAAAATAGATCTCGATTTATACAAACAAACGAGCAGATTCAAATAAAACAAATATATGTTTTTCGAGTTTCAAAGCAGAGTATACCTCGAAATCAACATGAAGCAAGAGAAAAGATTATGCTTCAGCATTAAGACCATCTTCGCTTCAAGAGAAACAAAAATCTACATTAGTAATAAAGTAGGATTCGCACAGCACAAACACTCCAAAAAATCTTAGTAAATAGTGAAATATGAAGTCGTGTGATTGAAACTTTTAGAAAACTGTTCATAACTCAGCAAGGGAAAGCTATAGAATCATGATGAGCAGGTCATTCTGAAGGCAAGACTTTGATCTACAGACTGTGCTTTAGTCAAACTGGAACCTAATTAATTTCGAGCGACCGCTAGCCGAATCTTACTAGAACGAGTACAGATTTTGAAACACAGTATTTTTGGCTATCGTTTTATAGGAATCTCCAGAAATACGAACAAATTGAAATAGATTACAACAATAATTAGAATAAAGAATATGACTACCTGAAGAAGGAAAGGTTGGATATTGATGTCCAGCTGGATCGGGATAAGCAGGGATCTCAAAGACCTTAAACCATACGCTGCCAGAACCGTCGAAGTCGACGACTTTGCCTGGTGCTTTGGCCATATAGACGTTGGCAACCTATTACAAACGTTAGCATTTACAGCGATATAGACGTCTCACTTTCAAATTAATATATATTTACCCCAATATGGTAGAGTTGATTATTCGAATGGAAGGTGATTTGACTTCCAGCTTCGACAGTATATGTGTGTGGAGCAGTTCGACCACTGCTGTAGCATCGGAAGTTGATATCATTTACATCCATGATCTATTTGAAATTTTATTTAGTTAGTGAATATAAACAAAGCTGGGTAAATATACATACAGGATTTTGGGATTGATAGTTGTCTGTTCTGCGAACAACATCCCAAGGAACTGTATGATCGACAGAATGCCAGACATCTAATTAGTAAGATAATTTAAAAGAAAATAGTGATTAGAAAGTAAGTAGAATATGTGTCGTAACTCACAATGTGCGCAAACTCCCGAGAGGCATGTAAATGCCAATACAACTACGATAAACTTGCTGAAGAACATCTCGAAATGATGGGAGTAGTGTATAAGCTTATCGAATATATACTAGTAGTAACTGAGAAAGAAAATCGATGCAGCTGTTATCTGTTCTCACATATTTTGTGCTCTCAAATAAAAATTAAAAATAACTCATGGCAAAACAACAAAGAAAAAGGACAAGTAATATAGAGCTGCATAAAATTATCATGAGAAAAAAAATAAGTATTTATGGATGAGATAAAGGCAAATCCAGATGTGTCTGCGTGGATGGAACTGGACGATGATAATCCATTTTATAAAAGTAATGGCAGCAGCTTTAAAATACTAACAAAAACTAGGCAGCAAATTTCCATTAATTGCCCCTGTCCCATGGTCTACGAAATTCACATCGTAATTATAATGGTGGAGAATTTATATTTCACTCTTCCTAATCTCACTCAAGAGAGTATCTGGAATTATTCCGTTTACAGTACCCTTTTGATGCGCAGGATTGATATATTCAATAAATTATCTTAGTGTTCTTTGATTTACAAAGTGTGAATGAGGATTTCATCATTATATTCATCTCACAATCATACCAACACACACACACCCTAATGATCAAATATTTATGCTTCTCCGCTCTTTTCTAGACAGAATGAAAAATTTTCACCGTTACGACGTCAACGCATCAAAATAACACAAACCGAACAACAACGAAGTTTTTCTTTATTCATGAATCTTTTATTGGTGACAGATTTTTTTGCGTTTATTTACTTTTACCTGTACATATAAATTTGTCAAAACTAAAGAAATCGTGTGTTCGAATGAAAAAAAAACTCAAAACAAAACATGGGTTTGAGAGTGATGATGAACAGTAGAGCCTGATTTTTCAATAACACTTTTACGCCTCATACGATTCATCAGTCTACTTTTCGATGAGATTGCGTTAGACATTAGTTACAGTCCATTTTATGTTGGATCCATAAGCAACTTTATCAGGTCATGAGAAGCGAGACAAGCATATCAGCTAAAGAAATGTGCCTCACTTCATATAGAAAAAGCTAGCTGATCACACGACAGTTCTTACTATGCTATCATCCAACCTACTTTCTATCCTTCTTCTATCAACACGATAATCTTTCAAGGTCTACAGGGGCGTACTACTTGTAATTTTTTTAAGGCCAATCTGGTCATAATACCCATAGTTTTTTAAGATCTATCTGGACGTATTACCTCTAATTTTTCAAAGTCTATTTGAACGTAATATGTGTATTTTTTTACGATCTACCTGAATATGGTATAATCATAAGAAGGAGCGAGCATATACGTGAAAAAAAGTCGCTCATCTGACATAGAAAAATGACCTAACCAATTTCGACTCTTTTGTTTCTTATAATTTGAAATAATCTACATAACTATCCTAGCTATTACAACACGATGAATCAAATAAATTGTGCTTCGAATTGAACTCTGTTCTATTATGTAGAAGAAGTTAGCAGCCGATTCGAGTTTTTCTATATATTATTCACCTGACAACTTGTGCCACCTATCGTTTGTTGTGTGCCAGATAGAACTCGACGAGCTCTATCAAACGGTATCCTTAGACTTTATACTAACCTCATGGAACGTTTCATAGTTATCAAAAAGTCTTTTTTCTCCATGGGAACAATTTCATAAAAACTGTATTTCCTTAAATTATTCGCTCTCTCGCACTAAAATTTACAAACAAACATATATTCCTATGCATCTCGACTTGCTCTATCGATTGATATGCTCCTTTCCACCTGTTAACTAACCATTTCAATACACTTGCATGAAAAACGTCGAAAATCACCA